TCTCTCTCTCTCTCTCTCTCTCTCTCTCTCTCGCTTTCTCTCTCCTTCTCTCTCTCTCTCCCTCCCTCCCTCCCTCCCTCTCTCCAACTCCCTCCCTATTTCACTGCTGTATTGGGGGTCGCAGAGAAGTATCCTCTGCGGTGAACATGCGAGTACGGTTGAACAATTAGCTCCCCCGTTCAAGTGTACGCACAAAACAAGCAATCTAGCACTGTAGCACTCTACGTACGCGAAAGGCTGGAAGCGCGCATGTCGGGATTCATTTGAGAAATTATTGAGGCACTCGTGAGTGATTCTGTGTTTGATTGTTGTACCCTGTTGACCACGGAGGGAAGCAGAGGGAAGAGAGGTACTGGATTGAGATTAGAGCGACTTTGATGCCAAGGCAACGACAACTGCTGTATCGCCTACAAGTGCTGCTGCAGGATAAACAATCGACACTAGCAGCACACAGCGAGGATTCATGTTTCATGTGTCATATTACTGCTTGTAGGAGGGTTCACCTGGTTTCAAGGTTGGGGCGAGAATCTGGCCGGCTGACCGAAACCCCTGGTACCCGAAGTAGGGGTTGCTCATGGCGTCTATCTGTTTTGCGCGCTTGTGTGTTGTGGGTGGAACATGCAAGGTGGCCGTGGGGTGCGCGGTGAGACACGAGAGAGGAGCGGCGGCGTAATCACCGCAGAACCTGACGAAACTGTGGGCTACCGCAGTCGTACTTGGTGCTACAGGAGTTCCTGTAGTGTTAGTTTCTCTTCGGGCTTTGGGAAATCACGCCGCTTCACGAGCATTGCGACGATTGTGACACATGATACATATATACATGGATCATGAAAAATGAACAACCGATGGCAGACAACAGACGACACGATACAAGATGTCCGTTGAACAACAAAATGTAGCCAGGTCAACGGCGCGCGCGCAAGTATACATGTACAGGGTGTGGCATCTGGTTTCCTCCGAAACACACCGCCTCTGTGTACTGCTGTAGGCTACTGCTGTACAGCTGTACAGTAGGTTATCGGCGAAACTAAAGAGTACTTCACAAGACTGCAACACATCCCTTTTGATTGGGACACTACTGTTGTGCATCTATCGCAAACGGGTAAGACTTTTTGCTACAACAATGTGTAATTTTTGAGAAGCGTCACAACCGCAGTATTTCGAGTCCTTCAATTGATCTTGCAAAAAGCGCACTGTGCTTCATTATGACGCCAACGGATGTCACTTCAAGTCGGCCAACAAAAGGGCACAGATTCGTACTCAGCGAATTTTGTTGCATGTGTCTGGACCGCGTCTATTCTGGTCACCAAAGCGTGCAACGTACGTGTAGCAATTGAATTTCATTATTTTTTTTCATCAGTTTTTTTGCTGACGATGAAAACCACCGCGTTTATCATTGGCAACATGCATCTCTTGACGCAACACCACCAGCTCAACAGCTGTGCAACCAAGTGCGGGGTGTGTGAATTACTCGAAGCTTACGGGCCAGATCTTCCTGGTTCAGAATGCCTCGTCATCGATCGATGTTACGTTTCTCTTTTCATGCATACCGCAAGGCGTGGCCCATGCAACAAACATCGGACCCCTTATCCGACGGCGGTGAACACTTTCAACAAAAGCAAACGCCTTTCCGAAAGCATCCGAAGGGCACAAAAAAGCACATGAACCTGTAGGCTGCTGTGGTCTCATCTCTAGAGCCGAGTAAGTTTGTTCCTCTCATATTATTGTACAAATGATATCGACTAATTCTTACGGCCATGACTCGTGGGGTTGGGGGGGGGGGGGCAACAGCCCCGCCAGCAATGAAAACGTATAAACACTCGAGACCAACCCAACGAGTAAAATACGAAAAGGAGGGGCACGAGGAAATCACCGCCGTCCCACACTTACAACGAGCACAAGAGAGTGGATGTGGAAACAGCGGCAAGCGCCCCAAACCTCGCATCACCCGCGTTGACTGCTGAAATTCCACCTGCAAAACGATGGCAAAAACGTGCTGCTGCATTCTTCCCGCTCTAAACATGTGTATCCGCCACTTCCTCTCTCGCTGGCACAAGACAAGAAATGAACCCGAAACACCGCGCTGCTACGCCACGTGCTCTTTTTATCTACAAGAAAAGAGATCGGCGAACTATCTTCGACATGACGGAAAGCGAAGAAATCAGGAGGACTTGATCGCGCGAGGCAGCGCGTGAGACGTGAAGACCGAGGACCAGAGGCTGGGTCGGATCCAGTTATACCCGCTGCTCTGCACGTCGTCCTGGATGCGGCGGCCCACTAGGGAGAGGATCTGGCGGTGCTCGGGAGACACGGGGAGGTCGGTCTCCTTGAAGTTGAATAGCTCCGACACCTGGTGATCATGTTTGACCCGGCAACAACGAGATAACGAGAAAGAGAAAACTAAATGGCGGGTGGGGGGCGTGTGTACTCATAGTCGTGCATGCCGTAGTCGTTTGACCATTGACCTCAAATCCCTACAAAGCCGGGACGGAGCACGCCGGGTTCTCACCGGGAAACAAGCAAGCGTGAGATCGAGGCTAAACAGACACAGCAGCTACTGTATGTGATGCATACGACGCCTGATGTGGCTTGCTGGATATTTGGCGTACTGCTGTACCGTACCTTCGTCTGCGCGCGGTCGACGTCGAAAAGGGTCTCGAAGTACTTGAGTTGGTCATACAGAGCCTTGTCCGGGTACTCCTGCACCAGGCGTCCCTGGCACCCCTTGGCAGGACAGGCCACGCCCATCACTCCCATGCTCCGGGTGCGCAGCCCACAGGAGCTGTACCACGCGAGAGCCGCAGAAATTAGAGAAGCAGCAGCGGGTGGCACGCAAGTATATCGCCGAGGTTAAGCATCAAGATACAAAGTAATCGCCGGCGGAAGAAAGCCAAAGAGTACACCGAAAACCGACCACACCATACATACAACCGATCAGCTTTGCCGGTTCGCACGCGATAGTTGGAGCAGTAGCAGACGAAGGTGGTGTGTGCCGTCCTGTTGGCGCTCTTGTCTTTTCGTCAAAAGGCCGGTTGTATCGACCTCTCTGTCGAGCACGCCTGAACGTAAAGCCACAACAGCCCGATCCAACCACGAAAACAACAGGCGCCTCTCTTGTACAGCTAGCTTGACATCGTCACATTTAGAGAAACTAACCTTGCGCAGCAGGCGAGATACGTGCGAAAAAAAAGCGAGATTCTCTACATACACAACCAGAAAACAAAACCCCCGATCGTGACACAGCACGGGCCCCCCCCGCCCCCCTCCGCCTCCCCTGCAAAAACAAGGCCTACGATACTGTTGCAGCAAAATAAATGAGACTCGAGATCCACGGCAGGTAGGTAAATGCGTCCGAATTGCCGCACACAAGTCCACACACCGCGAACCCCCCCCAACACAAGTCAAGAGAAGCGGGATCTCACCCACCTGTCATCGCAACGAAGGCGTGTCTGGTAGTAGACCTTCAAGTGCCTTCTTACGGCGAGGGTCAGCCTTTGGTACAGGGTGCTCACGCAGGCCGCCTCGCTACCGGCCCCCCAGTAGTGCGCGCCACACGCTGGGTTGGGGCACATGAGCCCCGGCTGCGAGATTGAGGCAGGGGAAAGGAGATGAGAGAGACAGAGACGGAGATCGAGATCGAGAAAGACAGAGGTGACAGAGATGAGAGAGACATCAAGCACATGCAGTAAAACGCATGTAGACACATGTTAAATCTGGCTACTGGAGCAACGAACAATCAAAGGCTGAAGACAGCGAGAGGAGGCGGGTGCGTCGAACACGACAAGCCCTGCCCCTCGAAAAAAAAAGCTCCGTCCTTCTGTCTATTCAACGGACGTATCCATGTCATCATCAACAACCAAAGCACGAGCAGAGGCTCTCCAAAACACGAGAACGAGCCTCTTCTTGTAACCCTTACCCTGACCCTTCTCACCCTCAGGTCGGCCGGTCCGCTGACGGCCTTCTTCCGGTCCCACGAGAACACCCCCTGGAATTCCGCCTGCTCGTGGCACGCGCGGCAGGTCATCTTCAGGGGCTCCACCCCTCGGAAGCGCTCCGCGTCGGGCAGCTTGGAAGTGGGCGTGAAGGCCCAGTCGTCGCTGTCGTCTCCTCTGGCGGCGTTCGCCTGCGTGTAGGCGTTATTTTATGGCAGGAGGGGGGGGGAGGGGGGCGGGGGTAAGCTTCTGGTATATGTTTGGGTCGCGGGGTTTCTCTCGCCCTGACGTTATTAAGCTTGTACGGCATCGTCTATGACGTGACTACCACTGAGCTTTGAGGGGAACAAAACTAAAATGGAAAAATAAAAAATGGCACCTGGCTTTCCCCTTGTTGTTTCGATGGCAGGCCGCGCGAACATCGGAGCTTTTTTTTTTTTTTTTTTGCTGACAAAAACGGAGCGAAATACACTCGAAAGTCAAGCAAACTGCCCTTTGCGTCGCCTTCGTCACCACCCGAAGCAAGTAAGCAGCACAGGCCCACTCGTACGACTTAACACCTCAAAAAGGAAATGAGCTGGCATTCCCGCGGCCAGTGTCCCACGGTGGCCCGACACATGAATGCCGTACAAGTGCCGGAGTGATCGCTCCCCCCCTCCCCTAGACCGCCCTTCACAATCCGATTGCTCCGACAAACCGAAGAGGCTTGTCAAATGCCGAAAATGCTTGCGCTGGAAACATCTCGTCGACCGCTTCCCTCCCGCTTATAGGTCGGCTTTCGATAGCACCCTCTTGGTCGTGGAGCCGAAAATCGAGCTTTAAGAGGCCGTTTACAAGGGGTGCAAGCGATATCGAACCCTCCCTCGCGCTGTTGCTGGAGTCACCATGTGCAGCAAGGCGCTTTTGAGACAATCGCTTATTGAGCATAAACGCTGACTGGAAGCTGATTCTGTTCTAGTAGTACAGTAAAGTGGAATACCTCGTGAGTGCTCATGCGCTAGAACCACCGGAACTTTCGAAGGAAGCAGCCGAAAGAAAATACAAAACAAAAGCACGCTCTGAACACCCGAGGGAAGACGCGCTGGACTAGCGGATCGTTAAAAAAGTCATCGCTGCCCGAGTGAAAAAAAGTTGGCGAAAAAAACAGGGCTGAATTTACACAGCAATGTTGTCGCCGGGGGTGTGCCTCGGCAGGCACTCACGTGTGAAGTAAACTTGGTGGCGTCGAGGCCCATCTTCTCCGCCAGCACGGCCATGGAAGTGCCCTCGATGGGTTCGCACAGACGGCTCACGGGCGGCACGATCTGCTGGTTCAGGTACCTAAAAACGTTCAGGGTTTGGGTCAAAGAGTCCGGTTTTAAGGGTAGGGAGGCGTCGTCAAGTCGAGGGCTTCAGGAGGTGGCCGAAACCGAAACCCAACTGTAGAGGCAGCAAAAGCACGAGCAGCAACGACACACCAAACCAATGCAACCTAGATACGTATCTACCGGGAAACTCTACCAACGTCACCACCACCGAACATCAGCACCAGACACACGCGCACGGCGGTGTGACCGGCCGAACCTACCCCCATTATACGTCCGACTGTCAAACGACATCAAAACCCATCCACTACCCACAGCGAGGTTCGTTTCGTTCTCACCTCTCCGCCAACATCGATCCCAAGAAAAAAAGGAACGGACGGCAGCTCATCATCGAAACCCACCCACTTATCGCCCACCACGAGAGGTTCGCTCTCATCTCTCCGCTAAGATCACAGCAAATGACGGCACGGTAGCAGCAGCAGCAGCAGCAGCAGCAGCGGCGGCGTGGCCGGGTAACTCACCACTCCACGTCGACCTCGAGCTTTCCGCCGCTGCGGAGGACATCGTCCGGGTGCCTCGCCCTCTCGGCGGGGGACGTCGCTCCCTCGATCTTGCACATCACGTAGGGGATGTGGTGCCCGACGTTGACGGACTTGCCGGCCTTCATCATCGCCAAAGCCACCTATTTTACGTCAGGAAGCAATAGGAGAAACAATCAAAAACAAAGCAAGACAATCAGGTGAACAACAAGATAAAAAATTGTGCAAAAAAATAAGCATGAAAGAATATGCACGTACATGTTGAACATCGGAAGAATAGTGAAATGCCATCGTAATGATACTGCAAGAACGATGTGAAAAAAAAACCGTGAAGAATTGGTTCTTCCGTCTCCGGGTGCTTTTTCCGTCATTGCTGGGGATAAACCATCGCACAGAAAAACTCACACAGATGGTCCGTTTACTCCTCGAGGAGAAAATATAATGAGACAAACGGCCATTCCTAGCTAGTGAGCGTGTTTTTCGACATCGACGAGAGGTCCACGTCGACGAGAGGTCCACGAGAGACGACAGCTAGTGACGACTCCGGCACGAATTGCTACAACAGCAAATACAACCACAATAGCAGCACCATCACCAGCCCCACCGCCACCATCAACAACAGACACAGCACCAGCAGGGAGCATCAACAGCAACAGCAGCACGACCTAGAGCATCAACAGCAATAGCAGCAGCGACATCCCCAATCTACCTATAAACCAAACCTACCTGCACGTGCGGCTGGCTCTTGGCGTCCGGGTACTCGTGGGGGGCCTTATTGAGCCCCTTGGTGATGACGTACCGCGGCACCTCCACCTCCCCGGCCCTCATCGACGCCGCCAGCGCCTCCAGGTGGTCGTGGATGCCAGCTACGACGGTCTCGCGAGCCTCCCCCGACAACACCCTGTCCAGCACAAATTTCCCCGTGTCCTTGCTGAGGGTGCACCACTCGCGTCGCACCAGGTCCAGGCCCTGGGTCCCGGGGGTCCATTTGTGTTGGGATTATTGTTGGGGGGGGGTCGTGGGTTTCGATATGTGTTGGTGTTGGGGATACAGTGCAGGTTGCGCCGTGGTTTTCAACATGAGTTGTGGACATCTTTTCTCTCTTGTTCTGACCGGGGTACGGAAGGAGGTTCAGGAGTTTTTTTGGTTTTTCGTAAGCTGTCTCGCGGGAAAGGTTCCGGTCTTGTTGTTGAGGCGTTCTCGACGAGATCCAAGGCCTGGTCGCTGGTGTTCCGGTCTTCCAGCTATTTTTTTTGTTTCGGTCATCACAGTCTTGGATCATCTTGCTGACTACCTTGTTCCGCAGACGACAGCTGACAAATGTGCAGAGGAAAACCTACAAGAACGGAAAGCTTTGCACATTGTCAAACTGTGGATAACAGATGCGTTTGGTTTGTACAAGGGAAAAGGTCAACAATGTCTGCCTGGAATACCATGCACATACACGTATCTTGAATCGTTGAAACTTGCACTGTACCAAGAGAATTAACCTAGAGAAAGACTATGCATTTAACTGTCTGTGGATGTATGCATACCTTCATCTCCTTCTCGTAGGTGATGCTCCCGTCGGGGTGCTCGACGACGACGAGGGCGGCGTACTTCTTCTTCTTGAGCAGCAGCATGCTCTTAAAGACCCCGTCCAGGTCGAGCTCGAGGCTCTTGTACAGCTTGTTCACCTCGCGCTTCACCTGGTTGCCGATGTCTTTCACCTGCGCTTGCCGCGTCGTTGGCGTCGGTAAGGTTCGAGGACGACGAGACGCCAAGAAAGAAACGAGAGGGAAAAACAACGAAAAAGATGCAGGTGAGTAAGAGAGCGGGTCAGAAAAAAACAAAACACGCCAAGAACAGCACGGCACACAGCACCGTTAGCACGAGAGCGAGGTCAGAAAAACACGCTCGGACAAAGCGTGGCACCCAACAGTGGCGCAGTGCGTGTTTTCAGCGACCGAACCATGCAAACAAGCACACCACACAGCTCATGCAATGATGCCAACGTACGAGGGAGAGCGCATCAGAATCCTACAAAACAAACGACCAACAAACGGGCACGAAAATCATCACAGTCTCTGCGCTCCCCACCCACGCCACGAGAAGAAGCAGCAACAGCAACTGTACATCCAACCAACAGGCTTTTGCTCGTGTTCCTCCCTCCAAGGTTTCTGCTGCCTTACCTGCTTGAGGTCGGTGCTGTGGGTGTTAATCATGACGCTGTCCGTGTCTCCGTAGATGACCTCTAGCCCCAGCTGGTTCTCCGACAGGTCGACCGTCCGCTGGAGGCTCTCTCTCCCCTGGGCCGTCACCAACGCCGCGATGGGCTTGGCGTAGAACCGGCTGTTGTTTCATTAGTTTCATACGGTTAGGGTCAGGGTACGGGTTAGAGATGGGCTTGGTGTAGAAACGGCTGTTGCTTCATGAGGTTCATGTTTGTTTTCGGGCTTTGAGGGAGGGAAGGAAGCACGAACAAAACGGGCTGAATGAGAAAAACTGTGAGGAGAAACGCGGCTAACAAACCAGAAAACAAGTTACCGGGTCTGTGCACACGCGGCGGCGGCGGCGGCGGTTGCCGTCTTCGACGTGACGACAAGATTTCCACCGTCACGTTGATCCGTGAGTGAGCACAACATCGTCCGTACATACCCTTCGATGGTTCACGCTGCGCCATATCGAGGAGACCAACACGGTCGGTGAATTAACCGATCCGAAGCAACCTTTCCCTGGCCTTGATCGACCCGTGGGTACAAGTACAACCAAGGACCCTACTATAGGACAGAGGCCTACATGGGGACAAGAGGTACCTTGGCAGGTGCACAAAAGCGCGGTACGCTGCGAGACATTCAAACCCGTCTCGGTCCAAAAATCAAGCACGAAATCTTGTACACATGCGCCGCGCTCGTCGAACGCGACTGCACGAAAACCGGACTGCTGCTGTTGCTTCCGTGTTGCCAACACGTACGGGCAACCTAGCTAGCGAATTCCGCCAAACAAGAACGAAAAAGAACATCTCGCAAGTATATTTTGGCGTGGACATCGAGGATGGGCCTGTTGCTGCGGCTGCGGCTGCACCCTAAAACTCTTCCCGAATCCGACAACCACAGCTATTACACGATGCAACCCACTCTCAGCACCCAAACGCACGCGGAAAGATGGACAAAAACTGAACATATCCAAGTCGAACGACAAGGACAAAAGAACGGGGGGCAGGGACGGTGGGAGTGCTTCGGCAGAGCTGGAAAAGGGTTATTGGCCGCTTGCTGCACAGCGGGTTTTCACTTCTTGCTTTGCACTTCTACTTCCGGCAACACACTGCTGTCCCGTACCTGAAGGAGAATCCGAGGCAGCCGTACATGGAGTTGGCTGTGAGTTTCAAAGCCTTCTGCCTGATGTCCAGCTCCTGCTTGCGGGAAGGGTCCTGAGATACAGTACAAAAAAGAAGACAAACCAAAACCAAAACACAACGGGGCAAGGGGACACACACACACACACACAACCAAAAGGTGAACGAACAGGCAGAATTTTCCGTCGAACGGGGATAAACATCCTTCGCGCAAAAGATCGCCGAACCGCACTCCAGAATGGACCGGTCCGTGCATGCTTGTGGACTCCTCAACCAGACGGGCCGCGTACTTCCCCACGACCATAACTGCTGCCGTACGGTATAGAACACGTGAACCGCATTATAGTCTACGTGTGCACGCCTCCGCCCGACGAGCCGCCGGCCTCCCACTGACCATGAGTACCGACCAAGAGTACTGCCGTATGTCGTACGCACGCAATAGACCACGCACCTTCTCCTTCTTGAGCATCTTCTTCACCACCGACCGCCGTTCGACGAGGGTGCGGATGACCCTCGGGAGCACCCCGATGTCCATGCCCTCGGCGGGCAGGTCGGGGAGCTTGGGGCCGGCGGAGGCGGCGGCGCCACCATCCTCGTCCATGTCGTCTTCTCCTCCCTTCTCACTCAGCGGCAAGTGTATTGCGGTGTCGTGTTTCAAGCGCCGATTCGCGCGGCGTCGGCGTCGAACAGGGGGACGGGGGTAAAGAAGGTTTAGAAGACGTGCCGACCATCTGTCGGCACCAACACCCTGCACCCGCCGCCGCACACCGAATCACGGTAACGGCACAGGCATCCGCGAAACACCTTCCACTCCTTCACAACCACCACCACCTCCTCATCACGCCACATGCATCACCACCCTTCGGCGACTTGCTCGCATCGTTTGACCGATCTTATCCGCCTAAGGTCGGCCCGCCCACCAACCCACCCACACACGGGGCCCCAGAATATCACCGCCTGTCGGAACCTTTTTTTTTCGTTTTTAACCGCAAGAAGACAGATGCCTTTTCATTGATTAGCCGGTTAGCGCGTTCGATAGTATCGATACACACAATACACACCGTTTTCTGACGGCTCTTTTCTCGAACGGTCGGTGCGGTACCTGTTATTTTCTGTTGATCATTTTGTTTCCATTTTCCGAGTGGTTTGTACCCTATTTTTGTTTTTTTGTTTCCCCGCGGCATCGTATGTGCCGGGTTTTGAGACCACGGGCTCCCCATTTTTTGTGGACTATAGAGCAAACGTGAGAAGCAACAAACAACAACAACACCTGGGCAGGGGTAGACATGTCGCCCGCCGCCCAGTTCATCGTGGTGAAGCAGAGGTTGTACTCCTGAATAAGGGAAGGGTACAGGCTGTTGAAGTCGAGCAGGAGGATGTACTCGTCGTACAGCCCCTTCTTCGGCTCGAGCACCAGACCTCCGGCGTAGGCCGCCTTCTTGCTACGAGCGCCGCCGCCGTTGTTTGCCCGCTTCTCATCGTCGCCTTTTCGAGCAGGCAACACACGAACATGTGAAGTCAGCACAGGGTATCATGTACGGGGCAGAGGCAGAGATGAAATGCGGGAAAGTGAACGCGCACGCGAAACGTATCGTCGTCTCTCTTGGCTTTGCTCCGTCCACTCGCTGCACGCGTCTCTCCCCGTCTCCAATTCCTGTCTCCATATACACCTCTTGAGATGCTCACGCATTCTCCAATTTGTCCTACTCTCCGAATCCCTCTACCCTCGCAGCCCCATCTCCCCCCCCCCGCCCCTATTTCACCGTCCTCGCCGCCGCCGCCGTCCCCCTTGGGAGCGTTTTTCTTCTTCTTGCCCCCACCGCCGCCCTCCTTGTTGGACCCGTAGCTAACCTGCTCGAGACCCAAAGGCAGAAGCAAAACGAGACGTGAGGACGACGAGCGGCACGATCAAACAAAGGGGGGAGGGGGTGCAACTCACACCTCTCTCTCGGGTACCTGTTCGCACGACGCACGGGGGGGGGTCCAAGACACACAAAAAATAAAGGAACCTGCATCATTCCAATGAAAACGTTGTCCACACTATTTTCATGATCAGCTCGTGACAACATTCCAAGCAGCCAAGGCCTTGCAAGCAAGCAAGGGTGCAACAAACCGGGATCAGACGGACAGGAGCACCCTTGCCATCATCCCCCCACGCCTCTCTCCCCGTCTAGTTGCCAACGATAACATGTTCCTTCACGGCAATCCTGCCCACTCTATCCCTGTCTAGCTAGTGTTGCCAGTGACAACATGGTGTTCGCATCAAGCCAACTCGCCCCGCCCCCCTTCCTTTATAGCAAGTGTTGCCAATGACAACGTGTTTTCATTCACGGCAACCCTCCCCCTCCCGCCTCGTCCATCCCATCCACGGTGGCATAAAACGCCCACCTACCTTTTCGGGAGTGAGGTACTTCCTATTGTGGAACTCATGCAGGAGGAGGTACTCGATCCGTTCCGCGCGACCCCCTCGCATGGTGCGAGCCCACAGGTTGCCGCTGAGGGCGGTGAGCTGGCAGCTGAGCGGGATCACCTGGAGCTTGAACATGAGCCTGGCAGAAAATGACAAAATGGCAAGAGCCGCAAGCAGCAGAGAGGCAGGAAAACAGGAGCGCGTCACATTCCGTACCGTCACGGGTATCTACAGTATACGGCATGTAGCGATGAAAAACATGCACAATGTTACAGGAGTCCCATCACGCTTGTTGTTCTTGTTTTGTCTTCCGCCTACGGTACCTCCGCAAGGTGGGCATGTAGCGGATAAACATTCACTCACATCAGCTATTCATCATAGCCCATCATGGTGTCTTGCCTTGCCTTGCCTCGTCTGGCGACCTACCGCTGCATGGCGTTTTGTAGCGACGTGAAAGACATCAACTGTGGCATACACACTCCACCATGTTTGTTGTCTTGTAGAGAGTATTGTCTCGTCTGGCGACCTACCTCTGCATGGCGATATGTAGCGACGAAAAAAATACAACGTTGGTCGATTATGCTTGTTGTCGTATTGCGTGGTGATGTACCTCTGCGCCGCAGTGGTACATGTTGACATGAAAGTTACAATTTTGATAGCACCATAGTCCGTCATGCTTTCCGTCTTGTCTTTTCTTGTCACCTACCTCTGCACAAGGCTTGCGTCGTTGGCCGTGTGAAGGGCGAGCTGCACGATGTCTTGGGCGCTGCCGAAGAAGCGGGGCACGTCCGCCGGGTCTACCGCGTTGCGAGAGGCCTTCAGCTGCGCCCCGGCGAGGTGCGTCAGGCTGCGTGACATCCATTGGTGTGTAGAGCGCCACACCCGAGGCCCGCGACAAGCAAATGCAGCGGCGAGGGAGGGAAGGAAGGAGGGAGGGAGGGAGAGAGAAAGATTAGCATCATTCACCGATGTGGGTGCCGCGAAACTCATCCGGTAAATAAATCCGTCGGACCGTTTGGATTGGTGGGGGGGGAGGGGGGTGGGGGGGCATTGGCAAAGATCAAAAACCGCGACATTTGCCGGACTCTACGGCAAGCTAGCAAGCAAGATGGCACAANGGGGGCATTGGCAAAGATCAAAAACCGCGACATTTGCCGGACTCTACGGCAAGCTAGCAAGCAAGATGGCACAAGAACCACAACGCTATGTACTATAGGACAAGCACCGTCGGTGCAAGCCGAATAAACCACCCAACAAATCGACAAGGGCCAACCCACAAAACCAACGAACCAACAACCAAGCAACGCGAAAAACCAAACAGGTGAAAGACAGAACGGGGTGGGATTATTCTGATTTCATGTATGCATATGCATACCTGTAGGTGGTCTCCCTGAGGAACTCCTTGGCGCTCAAGTACGTGTCGCAGAGCAACCGCCCCGCCGCCACGTTGGCGTTGTAGCTGCCCACGGCGCCCTTCATGCCGTGGGAAGAGGAGTAGACCCTGGGCGGCGTATTGCGCCTTAGGCGACCGATCTTAGAGTCCAGGACCAGCGAGAGGTGAACGACGAAAAAAACAACAGAGGCGTCTCGTAAGGAATCGTTTCAATCTTTGGGATGGACGTCGTTGGTGTACACCAGACGCCACGTGCGTGCGTACGTAGTAGGTTGATTGCATCATTTCATCATTGAAAATCGTGGAAGAATGAAACACCCGACGGCCTCACCTTGGACCAGGTGGCCAGCTTGAGGTGCACCGCGCGGTTAAGAAGGATGTCAAAGTCGAAGCCCATGAGGTTGTGGGCCACCAACACGTCGGGGTCCTCCTGCTGCAGCTTCTGGAAGAAGAGAGACAGCAGCGCCCGCTCGTTGGGCATGGTCTGGATGGGCACGCCGGAGCCACGCCCGGCCCGCCTCGCGTTGGCCTCGGCCGCCTTGACCTGCGCGGTCGTGCGCAAGTGCACACGTGGGTTGTGCTCAGTGTCCCATCTGCCGGCGGCTACAGCAGTATACGGTGTGGTTATCTCCCTTCAAAAGGCAGGCAACAGCGTGTGACCTGGAACCTGCCTCGACAACTACAGCAGTATACCTGGCCCAGGATCAAATCAAGCCTAGAGGCAGAAGAAGGGCCGCTACCCTTAGCCAGCCTCGCAGCAAACCTCAACACGAACAACCCGTGTTCTGAAAGCGCTCACTCACGGTACTGATGTAGTTTGGATAACCTCGAGGAGGAGGAGGAGGGAGGCTCTCTCTCCGCCGACTGTGGCACTCCGAACTCGATGAGGCGATGCATGTTACAGCAGCAGCAGCAGCAGTAGCAACAGTTACCTGATGTTTGATGTCGTGCGGGAAGACCTTGGGGTACTCCTCGCCGGCCGACTGTCCGAGAGGGCGGATGCCAAGCCAAGCGCCCATCTGGCACACAGGAAAAGCAAAAAAAAAAAAAGTAAAGGGAGAAGCGGCCGCGCAACGACGGTAAAGGGGAAGGTGGGTGGGGTGACAAAAAGCTCCTACCAAGTATATCTGAGCGTTTCTTACGTCTGTCATTCGAGCATCGCCTCCAAAAATAATTTGATCTTGATCGTTCAGCGTTAATAGCTCCCCTCCGCCTCCCCCGAACCAAACGCGAACCGTCTGCTCAACACCCACAACGCTTTTCTAAATTCCCCGCCCCCTCCCTCCTCCGCCCCCACGACAAAAAAGCGCCAACCTCACGCCTATAACAAGAAACACGCAGCCAGCCAGCCAGTCACCAACCAAAGAGGCGGCCCACACAAACATTACGCTATGAATCCATTGCTAGTCTATCCCGTACCCTTTCCTATGGATAGAGATGAATTCGTCGTGTAATTGTAGAAAAACGAGTGAAACGACCCACGAACCGGTCCCAATCACGCCGCACCTTCTTCCCGCTCTCGTCCGAGGCGCCGTCAAGCCGCACCTCCCGGTGCACCAGCGCCGACAGCGCCACCACTTCGTGTGTGTGCGTGCGGGGGCTGACGACCGTCTTCATGGACAGGGACATGGTCACCACGGGGGGCGGAGGGGGAAGCTTACCCGCGCTGGTGTCGGCCGTAGGCTTGGAGGCGGAAGAAGGGGATGCCGCATCCCCTGCCGTTGCCGCTGCCGCTGCCGCTGCTGGGGCGCCCACCTCTTCTGCCAGGAGGCGGGTGATGGACTTGGGGGACTGTGCGGCGACCTCCACCTTGCACCAGCTCACCGGCGCGTTGTTCACCTGCGGTGGTTGCACAGTTGTTGGTGGTGTTTTGGTGGTAGGAGGGGAGGGGATGGCACAGGAGCATGTGACTGCTATCTGCTGTTGCACCCTTGCTCTCGCATTCAACACGAAGGCGATGCGATACGATAGGCCACAAGAAGGAACATCTTTGTGCTTCTTTTTCATTCGGTGCCCGATCGCAGCTCCACCGCTCAACGGCGGCAACAATAAGACCGACGGGTTGATTTGTAGACTAGGAAGATGAGCGCACAAGAACAAAAAAAAAACGCGGTGGAACATGAACAGGATAAACAAACACGATTCAAGAGGGTGCGTTCTTCGCGGACCTAAACTACTACCTTGGGGTTGCGCACTGTGATCCAGCAAGGGCCCATGAGCTTCCTCTTGATGAGGAAGGACTCGATGAGGGGCGTGCGAGCGCCAAAGATGGCCTGGAAGGTCTTACCCCCGGACTCGCAAACGTCCTGCAACAACAGAGAGCGACCACCCCCCCCACGCCAGAGAGAGAGAGCACACGGGCAACCGGACGGGCAAATACCGATCCGGCAGGAAGAGAACGTAACGGCGACGGAGAGGGGGGGGGGACGACAAAGTGGGAGAGAGATAGACAGAGAGGAAGAGAGAAAGAGGGAGCGGGGAGGGTACTCGTTCAGTCACTCGCTCTACATTTGACTCCGAATGTCTTCGAAACTGAGCGGCGTTCTACTACTCCGAAAACGAGACACATGGTATGGTGTGCAGGGGGGGCGGGTCGGTGTCTGTGCAAGGCAGCCAGTCACTAAATCTGACACCGTGGCGCATGTTGATCTTCTAGGAATCATCTTGCTCGGCTGAGAACAAGGGTTGCGCGCAAAATGAAGGCGGTGGGGGGACAAGAACTAACACCGTCGTATCATGTACTTCACGGTACACACGGCTCTGAAGCAAAACATCAAGAAGCTCTCATGTCCCTGCCCACCTCCGGCAGCGCCGGGTAGCCAGCCGGGTACTTGATCTTGAGGTACTGCGTCTCCTCTCGAGGAACGGACAGGTCGCCGAACGCGTACTTGCGCATCACCGGCTTACACCTTCGATTGAGCGGCACACGACACGCAGACGATGACAAAAGACAGGTACAACATGTCAAGTCTGGACCACGAAAAGCGGGTACTTCAGACGGATTACCACCAAACGAAGAGTCAGAAATTGGTATTTATTGGAGTTGGCAGGAGGCATTCCTTCATACAGCACACGAAAGACAGACGATGCCAAAAACAAGGTACGATGTCACGTCTGAAGAATTACCACGAAAACCATCCATGAGATAGGGCGGTGAGCGCTTGGCAAGAAATCGAGGAGTCTTTTGGCAAACTCTTTGTAGAATAAATCACGACCCGCTCATGACCACATACCTAGCAAAATGGAGAGTTTTAACAAACCATATTGGTACAAAGGACGAGATTGTGATTGCTACTACTGCACGACACCAAAAGACCACAAGGAGGGACAGGAAGGAACAACGCGCCTGAACTGCTCCCCCTTTGCGTTGCGCTTGATCACCCTGGGCACCAGCACGGAGGCCATCTCCTGGTAGACGGCGCCGATGTCGGCTCTCTTGGCGCTACCGCCCCCGCCACCAGCGCCTTCGTCGCCGTCACTGTCTTCACCGTCCTTCTCGACCAGCCTGCGGCAGCGGTAACGGTGAACGTCGGCGCACCGCATTCTTGTGTGCACTCAACTCGTAGGATGGCTGTGCGAAGACGAGCGCGCTTGTTGGAACAATACACTTAATTGCATTACAGCATTGTGCGAACACTTACCCAAGGCATTCTTTAATTCCACGAAAAAATGAAGCTCTCCCTCCGACACCAGGACCAACTTGCTTCCCACAAAAAAAAAAAAGAGAAATATCGCAAACACACCACACCTCGGCAGGACGAGCACCTCCCGCTCGATGCTGTGGACGGCGACGCAAGCGGAGAGGAACGTGGTGCCCGCGGCACCGGAGTCGCCTTGGGGCGAAGCCGAACCCGACGACGACGATGACGGCACCGCCACTTTGCCGATGAGGTAGATCGTGCCGTTCTGCTCCGTGGCGTCGAGCCAGAACATGCGCATGAACTCCCCGGTCTCGTCCTGCGGGCGAAGAGGATTGCACAAGTTGTGTGTGACGATTTTGCCGCAATAAATACACGTGTGACGATTATGCCGCAATACATACACGCGCGCGGATCAACGGGGCCGTTATGCGTGAGAGGGAAGTTCGCGCGCACACGGCTTGTACTTTAGAAGTTGGTTGGTATCATGAAACAGACGGGAAGCTGAGCCGGGTACAACGGGTATCTGTGAGATTTTTGGAGCCCTCTGACGAACGAAAAATCGCACCCAAAAGTTAGAAGACGTTTTCATCTAAGGCAAAAGGGAGTAGGAAACTGCGCGTGCTCGTACACAGTCTCACACAGCTAACCCTGAACAAATAATACCAGTCACGACCCGACCCATGAGCGTCTGTACACATGACGAAGGGCACCGAGCGAGTATGTGAACACGTACGTACGGCGCATTGATTTTTATTCCCACGTCTCGATAGCAGCACTCAAACGCAGGGAACGCACGCAGAGTGCACCCGCGATCGACGGCGCCTCCTCGAGAGGGTGGAGAGGTTCAAGATTCGAGTCTCCAAAGCCGAAGACGTAATACGTTTTTTGTGGGGCGTTTTGCTATTTCTACACGCTTCTGGCCCCGCACCCGTCTGTTTCGGTAGCCAGCCAGCATCATACGAACCAAGCAGACGAGAAGAAGACGACACACACATCACAAGACGGCAAGCACACACACACGCGGGGTCCCAGATCATGGCCGTAAGAAATCACTTTCGTTTTCAGCCGCACTGAGTCTTTCATCGGTCAGTCGCTTTGCACGGTTGATGCTATATGATGATAAAACACACACCGTGTTTGTTTCATTGATGAGCCGGTTAGCGCGGTCGACGCCAACAAAACACACACACATACGCACACGGCACGGCATGTACATACAACGTCTCTCACCTTCTGCAGCCAGGACGACGCCAGTAATAAATACAAACACACGGCATGTACAACTTCTCTCACCTTCTGCAGCCAGGACGAGGCGCTCGCGACCGAACCGGCGGGCGTCGAGGGCGCCTCGCTTAGCGAGTACTGCGGCCCCTGGAACTCCAGGCTTGGCATGTAGCTTCCCTTCCCCTCGCCGTCCTTTCCGGCAGCCGCCGCCGGTTTCTCCTCGACGGTCTTGGGGCGCAGGGCTGCCTCCGCGGCGGCGGTCACCGCGATGTCGTTGGTCTCCTTCATCCTGGCGAACCTCGACCGGGGCTTAGCGGCGGCAGCGGGGGCCGGAGCCGTCGCTGCCGCCGTTGCGGGCGGTTCGGGCGAGACCACCGCCGCGAGTTCCTTTTTCTCCTGGCCTCCAGCAGCAGCGGTAGCGGCAGCACCGTCACTAGCGGCGTCTGCGGCGTCAATTTCCGCCGCTGCAGCCACAACGCTGTCCGAGGCATCCTCCACGGCAGCGTCACCTTCACCGGCGTCTTCTTCTCCGCCGAAATGCTCGAACCCGCCGACATAGTCGCCGCCGTCCCCGCTTGGTCCCGGTTCGTCCTCATAGTCTCGGACGGTCCAGGCGGAGGGCACCGGGGGGCGCCTGCTGGCGCTGCCGCCGCCGGCGGCACTGCTGCCGCGGGAGGCGGTGCTGCCGTAGGAGCGGCGGGAGCGCGCGCTCTGCGGCGTAACCAGCCCCCGCTTCCGCTTGGATAGGGGCATCCCTGACGACGAGGATGACGACGGGCCGCCGCTGCTGCTGTTGCCGTTGCCCGGGGCGAGGTCGGCGATGGGGTTGGACGTTAGGTCGCTCAGCATGTCGTCCAGGTTGAGGGCACCGCCGGCGCCGGCACCGCCTGCGTGTTTGGCGGTCAAAAAGCCAGGGGGTCGTGTTGTGTCAGAGCAATGCCGCCGGATCTTCGGCGCTCAATTGTCCACCCTTGGCTTTCGATGGTCTACCCTCGAGTGTACCGTATACGACACAAGATAACACACCCCTTGGACCGATTTTCAAAGCTCGATTACTCCACGAAGAGGATGCATAAACGAGACGATACATTTTCGAAAAGCTCTCGACGAGACGGTTTCAACGCCGCCGTTTTTCGGCGCTGTGACTGTTCCTGCAGTTGAGAAATGGAACTTCGAAAAATTGGGCAAGGGGGTGTGTTATCTTGTGTCATATACGGTAATCAGTGGGTGAGCCTTTCACCAAAGCCGTTGTGGAAAGCAACGCAGCAGCCGAAACAACGAGGTCGGTGTTGGCTGCCGGCAACCTTGTTCTCTGCCATAAAATCGGTCGGTAGAAACCATTGCGGCAAGAGGCACCTTCGTCGTAACAGCTACGTGGACGAACCAGAGATGGCCTAGGGCAAACACAGGCAAGTTTGAACAAGGGCTTCCCACCGCTGTACTGGTACACATCAGCTCATTTCACACCCACGCCGAACCGTAAATCTACAGAGCCTGTTCTACGCATTCACATAAGCCTGTCTCACCCCCACGGCGGGCTCCGGGCGCAGCAGAGGAGTTGCGGGAAAGAGCAGAGGGCCCGACGGTGCTACCGCCGCCGGTCCGGAGGAACTTCTTGATGCCCCCCCCGGCCTGGGACGCTTCATCTCCGAGCCTTTATTCCGGCGAGTGCGAAGAGGAAAAACGGTCGGTCAACAAGATGCCGCTGACGCGAGGACAAAACACAAGGGAAGAGGAAACAACAAGACCACTGCCTGGCACAACCTTTTTGTCTGCATGTTCACGGCCAGAAGAAGGGACGAGAGGAAGATACACCCTTGGGCGAATGTGCGGAACCCCTTGGAGCGGCCACGCGATCCGATGGAGCAAAAACCAAGACGCACCCCAAGCACACACAAAATGAGTGACTCACTGATTGAGCTTCCGAGCCTTGCGCCGAAGCGAATCCGCGTTGATCTTTCCATGCACCCCCTTCCTGCCCCCTCCCTTGTTCCCCCTTCCCGCCGTTCCCTCCGAGCCGTCGGCCTTCTCTATGAACTCCTCGCCGTCGTCGGCGTAGCCAAGGCCGTCGTCGTCGACGACAAAGTCGTCCGCCTGCTGCCTCTTGCGGACAAGCTCCTGGTACTCTTCCTCGGTCACCTCGTCGTAGACCTCGTCATCGTCGTCCTGATGGGCGTGTTTCGGGGGAGACCCGGGGAGGCGGTGTCTAAAAAGGGTAGATAGGTAGATCCAGAACAGGCTACTTATCGGAAGTATCACACGCCGCGACCGATCATGCAAATGCCGCCGATGCGCGCTTGTTAGATACCATTCGACTACTCGGACGGTAGTTAGACAAAGGCTAACGTAAGACCACTGACTGAGTGGTCTAATGGGTCAGTTAGCCTTAATCTAGTAGCACGTGTTTGCAGTGCTACATATTCCAACAGAAGTGCTGCTGTTCCGACGCCACAAGATCAGGCCTGCCACAGTTGGGGCCGGGGATGAGCGTTCGGTGGCCCCTGGATGGTGCCACGTCTGAACAGTGTCGGTTTGGCTGGAAGCAGCCGTATTTCTTAGAACTCTCACGTGCCGGCAGATCGGCCAGCCACTCAACGGCAAAAGCGGTATCTCGGACTTTCGCCATAACGCAGAGCGGCCACGTATTAAGCCATGGCGGGTGGTGCTGGCCTCCAGTGTAATGGAGCAAAATGATGCGGTACATCGCAGTCAGTCGCGGATCCTCCGGTATTCTCCGTATGCATGCATACAATCGTGTACATACGAAGTGGGATACTTCTCGACAACTGGAGGAGAAAGTCTTGGCAACAGGGAAGACACGCTGCTGTAGCGCCGCAGGTGTACTTGTTTCGCAAAAACCATGCATAGCGATGTCCGTATTGCGATGTGCAAAGCCAACGCGCTGGCAAGCGCCACGCCGATCCATCTGTGCATTTGCGCGCGAAAACCCATGAAGGGCCCACGGCCCACTTTTGCTTTGCTGCAAATTTAGGCAGTCAATCCACAACGCATATCACCCCGCTACTGCTGTGTGCTGTTGGGAATAGTTCGTCTCAATGCGCGCGTGTGGGAGGTGTATCCGCAGCCAAGAACAGGGCGCGCATTAAAGCTCCATGGCAACGCGGTGAACACCGCCGTTTTGCAACTTCAATGGGTTGGGAGCTTGGCGAGACATTTCCTGATGACATTTTCAAAACCTGCCCAACTCGAAGCGGTCGGTGTTGAGTCGGGGGTAAATTCTGGCAAGAACAGAGGCAGCAGCACTAGGTTTGGGCTGCAACCGAAGGTAGCGGGCATGTCGATCACACTCACTCGTGGAATACAGCGCTGACTGTTGGCTGTGCTTCGCAAAGGGCACGGGGATGGAGGACGTGAGGGTTGTGTACCATCCGGCGGGTGTGTTCCAAAAATGCCTCGTTGTGGGGGAGTGGATATTTGAATATCCTCTGCCGTGGTTGACGGCAGCGCCATGCCGATGCACAAAGTGATCTCTCCACCAGATGAACTACAACACACAGAAGCACGACGCATAGAAGAGCGTGCGCCTGCAAAAAATGTACACGTGCAAGCCAATACACTACTCAACGCAGCAGCTGCTCATGGAAGCAGCATCGGCGCGGCTCTGAAGCCGGTGCCCAGCGAGCGTTCCAAATCGGCTCCTCGTTTCTCCTCACCTCGTGCTGCTCCGCCCTGCTCTCAAGGCCATCTCGCGCAGCACGCAGGCTTTCCAGCGCAGATGAGTGGGCTGTGGGCCTGAACTTCCTCTGCCGAGCGCTTGTGCGCCTCTCCTCTGTGCCGGACATAGCTGCTCCCTCGTTGTAACTACGAGTGCGTTGCTGCTGCCTCTCTCTCACACGAGACCAAGAGAGGGAGACACCTCAACCTCGCCAACAGTCTGAACGACGACAGCGATGAGAAACCAGCAACACCAACAGGTTCACAAAAGAAAAAGGTGGTCAGCTTGTCGATTTGCAGTTCACACGCGCCTCTTCTCCCTGATACAGCCAGTGGAGTGGAAGTGGATTGCACCTCCGCGCAGCGCATTTGATTTGCAAATTTGAATTCATGGGGGCACCGTAAAATGAAATAAATCGTGAGGGATGCCCCATATCCTAAATCTGGCAAAAGTGGGGGGGAGGTGTCAGGTCGCCGTTGGGTGCTGCTGTCATGTACAGCACACTGCTGCTTGCTGCTAACGGGTTACTCGCTAGTCACGGGTAAGGCAGAAGCTCGACAGCTAGGCGTGAGAAGGAAGGAATCATGAGTAGTAGAAGGAGCATGAAGGGTGAAGCTCGCGGCGCCGTGGCAGCGACAGCAGGCGGTGAACAAGCAGGAAAGAATCCGTTTCAGTGTGTCCTTGACAAGGAGAACAGGCCCGACGGTGAGAGCGGTACACAGCAGCATAGTACGTGTTTCGAGCATAGGCAGGGAAGTTTCAGCAGCCGCACGCAACAACGATTCCATGCGTTTCTCCTCTTCGCACTCTGGCGCCCGTCCGCCTTCCATCATTTGAGCAGCAAGAAAACTCACACCCCTGTTTTCCGCATGCACCCCCGCGCGCCATTTTTTTTCGGTTGATGGATTTGGCGTTCACGCCCGTCCGCTTTCACCAGACAACAGAGATATGGGCAAGCGCGAGGGGCGGCCAGGGGAGGCAGCGGCGGTGAAGCAAGCGGTACTCAAGGTACGGAACGCTGAGAGAGAGAGAGTGAAAAAGCACCCATCGTTTTCGAAAGTAGTTGTATCACAACGAATCATTGCTGGATCACACTGCTGTATCCTTATTCCTGAAGTACATTGCAGACGTGTACGATGTACATACAGCAGCAGCTTGTGGCAATGTGCGATCTCGCCGTTGGCCAGTTTTCCCACGCGATGACCTTTCCACCCGCTGATTTGTGTATCATTTTTTTTCACACCGCATACTTCCCCCTCCTTCGTGTTTCACGCTTGCGTGATTTCTTGGTGAGTGACGAGTGCCCGTTGAATCGGAACCACGGTCTTACTCTTCAAAGGAGGTCTGACTTGTGGTTGTTGTTGTTGTTGTCTTCACATTAAAAACCATCCCGGTCTCTCTATCCAGTACCTCCTTCTGTCTCAATCTCTCCGTACTAATCCATCACTTGACTCGGCCAATTTCCGTGGTCACAGGCTAACGTACCTAGAAAAGGTATACCAAAATAAAATGGACCCCAAGGGTCAGCAGAGCGATAAAATACAAGA